CTTGATGACAAAACCAGGGATGCTTTCACCCTGATTCAGAGCTAACAGAAGATTTTGTAAGTCAGAATAATGTGAATGAAACCTTAAAAATTCTGTTTTTTTTTAAAGTTTTAACTGAATTTCAGGAGCTAGCAATAAGATTTCGATTTAGACTTTAAACGCTCGTAAACAAGTCGTATTATATTAGCATTTGATTTGTCGTTTTTGTATACCATATTATTGTTTTGTTATACACTGTCTGTAATAGGTACAGGAAATAATTGTACAATCTGTGCAATTACAGGCTGTGTGTACATGACTTCATACCAGCTATATATTGTTCTAACTCAACAGTTTACTACTGGCATTGTTACGTTCCTTTAATCCCGGAGGCCTGTTTCCGTTCAAGTGTATATCATATGTTATAGGCGGTTGTATATGAATGCAAGTCGTGAAAGGAAATCTATATTTACACGATAAACCAGTCAGTTATGGATTGGAAAAAGAGATTTATAGTCGTGTCCGATTCACCATTCTACTTTGTCTACAAATCGTCCCTTGACTAGAGTTTCATTTCTGGGTTGTTGTGATTAAGGTTTTTTTGTTTGCCAGTTAGACTGACTTCATTGTTGCATTCCTATAATAAAAGTCACCCACCATACAACTGTTCAAAAAGAACGGTTATCAGTTTCATGTCATTCTTTTCTTCCATTTCTATTTTATTAGTCATGTAAAGGAATTATATTCTAATGTCATTGCATCATTGTCTTTTGTATTTTTTTTTCCTTTTTCCTGAAAGTTTCTTGCTTTTGCAGAGAAGAAAGATAAACAGCAAAATCATACAGAGTAATTACTTGTTTGGATACATTTGAAATTGTATTATAAAGTTTGAACAAATAATGATTGGCAGACATGCACTGAAGTTATTTCAATATAGGAGGGATTTACGTATCCATGAACATAGGAATTGAACTATGTAGAGGATCTTACACGAGTGTAATATGGAATTTATTGATGATATGTCGTCAACATTTAAGCAAGTGCCATATCAAATTATTAAATGATACATAGACTCAAATGTACAATTCTATTTATTACAAAACCAGATTTCTGAAGGGAGGTATGGCGGGGGGTGGCACTTTAAAGTTGGTTTTAATGTGGATGGTACAGTTTTTTTTTATACGACAGAAACAGTCATGTGACATCAGAACAAGATTTATTAATGATGTCACAAAAGGTGTAATTGCACCTGTCTTACATTATATTTATGATATGACTAAGCGTTGAGTTATATATTGTAATCAATTTCACTTATGATGAGCCCAGAGTGACCACTGTTCATCTGAATAAAAATACTAGTTCAGAGTTATCAAATGAAAACTTAAATTCCACCTTGTTTAGGTTCTGACTATTAAAGAAAGTTTATGTACCTCTGTGCATACACTTTTTGAGCTTACTTTCTGTAAGTTGTTTTTGTCCTGTGAAATATACTCAGGAAGTATGTTTGATCACAAATAAAATGAGGAATTAAGTACATAAACTATTTGATTTCTGTAATAAAATAATAGTATTTAGACTTAATAATATGTTTTGGATCCAATAACATCTTTCATTTACATTTCTACTTTACAAAATGGGTCTATATAAAAGCATGCACTAAACGGAAACAGTTTGATGCAGAATTAAAAAGATTGTGATTAACTTGACTTCAATATAACTTAGAGTACAATTACAAACTCATTTACAACTTTGTTTACACAAAATGATGAAATATTGCAAATCAATATATTGAAGACGGCTGATGTATCATATCCCTTTATCATACTTCCGAATCTTTAAATTGATTTCAATAATGTGTCGTCGTTGATGTTTGAACTTTACATCCGCCCATCTTGTCTACAGTACTGCCTTGTGATAGTTGGCACAAAATAAAATTGATTTTTCTTTTTTACAAACTTGCAATAACATGTGTTTACATATTCATAACCAATATGAAACTTAAAGGTGTTTGGTGACAAGCATCTGTCTGTGACGGTTGTGGTTATGGTTGGGTTGTGCAATTTTTTTTGGTTTTCACCTCATTTTCTGTGTTTATATAATACTGTATTGTTGTGGTTCATCACAAAATAGACACATATGCTTGTTATGTAAATATGATATGAAAGGTTGAAACTAACTGAAGTGTATGCCACACCCCAGATTGGAGACAAAATTTTTACTTATTTTCAACTCATTACCAGGTATTTGCCATATTTGAATATGGTAGCTTTAACTTTTTTGGCCTTACTTAGCCATGATAGTGAACATGAGATGAGTTTGTGAAAATGGCAGTCATTAAACCACTTCATACACTCAGTAATTCCACATGTGTGCTAATTCACTGCCTCAGAAAAATGTGTCATGTATGATATGCTGAATATATTGCTTACAAAAATCACATTTGATTATAGATTTGTTGTATAGATTTGTTAAAAACATTTATATGCTCCTTAAAAAGTTTCAGTGAAGCATATAGTTGCCACTTTGTCCATCCCCATTTGGTGTCCAAAGCATAACTTTTCCCACAAATAAGCAATTATCATGAAACTTTTTGTGTATATTGTCATACTAAGACAATGTGCAGTGTAACAAATTCAGAGCCCTCAACTCCTCAATCCCAGAGTTAACAGCCTTGGTGTATAAATTTTTCATACGAAGATCATGTGCATTTATTTCAAATTTAGGACCTGCAACCTCTTAAAAGTACAGAGTTATTGCCCTTTGTAAACATTTTCTGTCCAATAAAGTTGCATTCATCATTTTCAATGATGACCTTTTTTTCTATGGTTTGGGATCTTTTTTGCAAGTTTTAATGAAATTTATTGAAAACCAACCAGAAAAAATATATGTACCATCTAAAACGATAAAAGATGAAGTTTTACATTTGTCTACCATATCTATCCAGCAATAAACCAGTGTTTTGTAATAAGCCCTCTTCAACCTACTTTATTTTAATAGGCAATAACAAAATGGTTTTGTCTGCAGTATTCTCTAATAGGCCTTTACTTTACCTTTGAGTCAGATGATACTTTTGGTTGGTGATTTCCATTTTTAGCTTTATCAAAAACATATCTATCCACAGAGTACATAGTTACATGTACTATTCAGATATTGACTAGAATTAAACATTTCTGTACAACAGATACTTAAAATTTGTCTCCGTGCCAGTGATGTCCTGTCTTAATGTAATTTGGCTCAGTTTGACCATTCACTCTCTCTATTCAACATTCTACAATATCTCAGAACTCCTTTAATTGACAAAGATTTACATGTAGATGAAACAGAAGACACTTGCTCTTCCAGAACACCTGGTCTTCTACATTTTCCTAGTGCTTTTACAAGAGTCTCTGTGTAAATCTTTCTTTAGTTCATATTTTTGCTCTATTTTTTATTTAATTTGAGTTTGGAGTATGATATGTTTACATTTGGTGTTTTCTTGCATTTTTTCTTCAACAACATGTGTAAAATTCACATATTTTAACTTCAACTTTGAGTCAAACATCAGCTTCTCTTTGACAACTCTTTGTCAAATCCAACAATATTTCGAATATGATTGACATTGACGTTTTCACACTAGCTTTGCTCCCTTAAATCTTTTCCTGTTTTAGTTACCAACTGCCTCCACCTCTACACCTTTGTATCAATACTGTAATAAGACAAGGTGACTCAAATGGAATGGATTTTTTTGAATGACATAGAAATAACATAAATAACATTTGTTTGCTCTTCAATGAAACAGCAACAAAAATAGATGGGCTTATTACTATGCAAGGGCTTATTGCGGGCTAACATTTCCTGTGAGTTGTAAGCTCTGTTCCTGGCCCCTTTAAAACAATACTGTCAGCCTTTATAGCTTAATATTAGGTATTGAAGAAAGTGTGACAAACGTAAAGTGCTTGCTGTCAGCAAATCATTCAATAAATTCCTAAATTAATTCATTCAGTACTGGAGTTGAAAACTGGAATTAAGCCTTATAGTTCTCTTCCAACAGGAGGAAACAGAAAGTCTTAACCTGACATGCAGTAAATAACAATAGCTGTATAATAAAGAGTTTTAATCGATATCGGTAGGGAAAAAACAGGTAAGAAAAATCACCAGTGTTCACTTAACACTGCATCAGTGTTACTAATGTGAAATCTATTGGTGAAATGTTAATCTCCTGCTTGACGGAGACATGTGGGAATCGACAAACGTAAAAGGGGCGTTTTTTTATACAAGAGTTGTATTTTTGCCATTTTTCAACATGTTCAAGGAAGATTTACTGTCTGTTAATTAATGAATTAAACACTACATTTAATTGTTCGAGACGAGATTTATGTAACGATTTGAGAGGCGTTGTTTTCCTTATAATGGAAAAACACAATATCAATTTAGGCTGATATATTGCTAAAAGGAGTAGTTTGATAGCTACTGAAGGTCGACACAGAGAAATGGGCACCGATTTCGGAGAATTAAAACGAGCGGTTAGGTTTTAATTTGGTTATATTAACTGCAGCATCCAAAGAAGGCGTATTTGGTGGGCTGTTAGCCATCCTATGTGATAGTGTGTTAAAATGTTTCAACTCTTTAAATCTACATCGGGGCTACTTCATAGGGTAAGCTATTAAGACTTATAGGATAATGTTCTTTATATGAATCGGTCATAATATCTTTTTTAGATCAATTAGATCTACATATTTCTTTCTGACATTAATTTTTTTGGGGGGAGAGGGGACTTGTTTCACTAATAGGTCATTACAAAAGATGTCAAAATTTTGAGTTATTCAAAAACAGTTTTGATATTTTTAGCTTATTATTTGTGAAAACTTTGGACACATTCTACACAAAAATGTATCATAATATGTTTTATTATAGATTGATATTTCTGTTATTAAGTTAGTTAAATGAAACATCATCATTTTGTTTCAACTAGGATTCATACAATACTGTATTCAGCGTGAATTTACCTGGTTTTTAATTGATAATTCTTTTTGTTACAGTACCTCTATGACGACGCGGTAAAGATGGATTTGAGGTAAGATTTTTACTCCTAATTTGAAACGTCAGTGAAGAAAATTGTCGTCCAGCATTGTAGGTAGCATTGTGCTTCTAATAACAAAGTTTGATGTTCCTGTAACGTAGAATGACCTTGATCTATTTTTTGTTTCTCTTCTCATTCTGTCTGAATGATGACATATACAACAATAAACACTCAAAATGTCTGACCATTGTAACATTTGGTTAATTTGAATTTTATTATTTCCAGTAGATTTGTTGATATAGATTAAAGAAATTCTGCATTTTGATTTGAATTTTGAAATTAAAAAAAAATTGTTGGCTAAGAAGTGAGACATGAGAAAAATTTGTCAAAAAATAATGCAATTATATAATTTGAATTTCTCAGGAAAATCTGTTATGTATTCAACGTTGTTGGAATGTTTGCTTGCCACTCACTAAATCACTAAATTAAAAAAAAAATTCAACATTAGAAGCAAATATATTTTCAATTTCAGCAGTTCATTGGTGATTTCTTAATATAGATTCTTATATGCTTATAAACAAATTACCAATAAATAACTCCAGATCTTTAACTAACTCTGTCCTGTGTATAATTAAAACAAGCACTCTCCGATTACGAAGGTAAGTTTGAACATTTACTTTCAGGTTTAAAAATTTCCTTCAAGACATTGATTTATTTGTATTGTTATTAAATAAATGTCTTTGCAAAGAATTCGTGATGAAAATTCCAATTTTTACAAGACTAAGTATAGTGAATGTGTGTGTGTATTTCTGCAACATTATGTGCAAAATTGATTCTCGTATTGTTACATAACTGAGACCGTTTTTAAGGAATGACATAAATTTGGTTTGAAATGTAAAATTTAATCTTCATTATTCATACATGTATTTATTAGAGAATTTGTCATCTGAAATATTTTGCGAAAGCATCTAAATTTGTTATTTTCTTGATTAAATTTCTACGTTTTCACTCATTTGATGCTAAAAGGAAAATTTCAGTAAAGAATGTAGAGATCTATAGGTGATCAATTTTATCCGATTTTCTGTTTTAAATCTACCTGTAATTTGTGATTTAAGTTGCAAGTTTTTTGAATATAAAGGTAGAATAAATAAATTGCCAAAAATATAAATTTGAGTTTAACACAGTTATTCATTGTTTAAAACAACAATAAAAGAGTTGAAGAGTTTCCTTCATCTGATTTTTTGAACAGGTAATTTGTTTTCAATAAGATATGTAGATTTGAAGCCTGTGTTTCATTTTGAACATTATTGGTCAAAAATATTCTTCTCTACATTTTTGAAATGTACTTTTTAGTTTGTTTAATCATGCACTTTTCAGTTGAGTTTAAAAAGAAAATGTACTTTTCAGGCAAAAATAAAAATAGAAATGTACTTTTCAGTCTAAATATAAAGCTTCATTATTGTACGAAGGGGAAAAAATGGTATTTGCAAAGTTATTTTCAAATAAAATTGATCTTTCGTTAATTCAATGTTTCATCAAAGAAGAGACAATCATAAAAACAAATTGAAAATTCTTTTTGATAATAAACACCAAGAAGATCAGATAATCCATGATGTCATAAAAACAATTTGTTGAAACTGTGGATGTTCATTTAGGAGACTGTAACCGTCTTGTTATTTATGTTTATAATGAAGATATTCATTTTAATTGATTCATCTAATTAATATCGTAATTGTCACAGACAAAATTGTACAATTTCAAGCTGAAGTTTAAATAACACTTATGTCTGATGTACATTTCTGTTGTGTTTTTAGTTTTACTTTGAATGCCTTAAATGCCACATTTAAAAAAAATCCCATATGATATATATATACTTTTTTTTTGTATTTTCATTATTCTGTGATGGTTTTCATATGAAATATATTTTAAACCATCATATAAATTAATTGATAGTAAATACTTCAGAATATGAGATGTGTATCCAGCAAATGTTGAACCTTGATATGCCAACTAGCAGTATGTTTCTTTAGATATCATTTCCACCAAAAGTTCATGGAAATTTTGAAAACTTGTATAATTTATTGAAAAAATGGACAAGGATCTGACAAAAAGATCCTGTTTATCTCCTATCTAGCTATCTAGACTATGTTTCAGAGACTACAAGGGATAGGAACTCTGGGTACATTAGAGTAGTTGTTCTGTTCTCCGCTACAGCTTTAATGTGTGTGTGAAATGGGAAAGGGTGAGAGAAGGGAAGCAACTCTAAATATTTTTCATGATGTCTTCTCTTACACACAAATGTAGCATGGTAATATTGGTGGAACACACTGCAATGGTTGTCATGGTTACGTGATAACTGAAAGGATGCCATTAAAATATGCTATGTTCATGATTTTTTTATGAAAACGCAGGATGTTGAATGAAGATAAAGCTTTTAATGGTTCATGTTTTACTTCCATTGAGAGATATTTTGTGTTTTTCGCTGAAGATAAAGTAAAATTATTTTAAAATATTGTAATGTATTTGTATATACTAGCATTCAGTATTTTGTTGAGCAGGAAAATCACATGAATATTTCTTATATATGTTTGAAATTTCAAAAACATTTGTGGACCTTAATATATCTACAAAATGTGACTGAAGGGACCGTTCTCTACATGACTACATGACTTTATGTGATCTATATATTTCATTGTCTTGTTAAAAGAATTTTTAAAATGTTGGTATAGCTTTAATAACCCTGATTATTTGATATAGGAAAATAACATACAGTTGTTGAAGGAAAAACAATCTTAATTTGTCTTCTAGAAATCTGCCTGTTTGTTTTGAAAAAGATTTTACCATGAATTGTCCATTTGAATATCATATGAACTAAGGTCTACATGCTTTACAATGTCATCAGTGGTTTGACCCATATCTTAGTATATTTTTTTAGAAATAATATTTGTGGATTTACAATTTTTTCCCATTTTTTAAATCTAAATGCTTTTATTTAAAAACCCAATATTTTTTTGCAGATCCTCTGTTGTGTTAAGAAATTTTTACCCGCTGTATTGATATTGTTGAGTGTAGCCAGAAAAAAACCCAATATTGTAGCTGTCATATGAGTAGATCAGTACATGTTAGATGTACCTGGCTACAGTGCTAATGAACAATACATATCATAATGATGCTTACATTACATACACTACAAAGGTTTTCGTCATTGTGTTGATTATTTTTGTTTTCCTCCACATATAAATTGCATCGTTATATAAGCCACACATCTGGAAATTAAAAAACCTCAAATCACTAAATGTTCAAGTATTCTTGTTACTGATGTGAAAAAGCTCCAGTTTGAGTTATGAAAGCTAACAAGGCTTTTTGAAGCTGCTGACATATGAGTATTTATGAATGTAGAACTGTGATGATAATTAATAAGTAAGACGCAACTCTCACAATCATGTTGTGATGATGATTTTCCAAATGTATTAAATCCCTTCATATAACAAATATCACAACACAGGGGATTTTACATGGCGAGCTTTATTAGGTGGGTTTTGTGTAATCTTCTTTTTGTATTTTTGAAGTGCTGTTGTTAACAACATTTGCCTGTGATGTATTTATGTAATATTTGTAATCATTGATTTAAAAAATTGCAGACTTTTTTTGAAAATTGATCCCACCATTATACAGTTTGATCTGTTCTATATACAATCCCTGTCTAAATCAGAATCTGTGGAAATATGCACAATATATATTTAAACTCAGATATTTTGGTCATTAAGAAAATACAAAAAAATGTAAAAACGTATATCTTGATTTTTTTCAATTTGAACAACCATCGGTATTTGAATAACAATGACAGCTGTCATGTGACCTAGTGTGTTTTGACCTCGAAGTCGTGTCAGATTTTGTAATGTATGTGGGGCTTACCCATAGGGGAAAAATATCTTACCAATTATTCTTGACATGATTAGAGACCTATTGTATTCAGTTGTCAAATCTTGATCAGTTTAAAAGCTGTGATAAATTACATAATATTGTTTTAAGAAAAAATTGTATTGAATGTGTAAGTATCATAGTTGTAGTAGCGTCAGATTACTGAAACAAGTTGGTGGGGCAGTGGAGTTAATTGAATGCAATGTATAGTGTAGGCCTGTAACTAATGCTATCTGTGATAAAAGATCGTGTTGATTGCGACTTAGCTTTATATCTGATCCATGCATGACCGAACTTTACAAAAAGAGATGTGTATTTTTACGACTTAATTATGATTACGTAGCTGGTGTTTTGAGTAATTACCCAAGCGAGTCAATTGGGAGGCAAGTTCTATTTAAGGTTGTACTCCAGCCTAGCATTAGGTGTACTATTAGATATATGTGATGGACTTATCTGGTTCAATTTCTGTCGAAAATAATTTCTGAGTGTTTGAGAATTGGTTGTGATTCCTGGGTGACATTTGTTGACGGTGAAATCATTGTGTGAGAGACACACAGAGGAAGCAGACGACAGACAACCATCATCGTTCTAACACAGGTTTGATACACTGTTGTACATGTGCCTTGTATAATACTGTTGTGTCTAGCCATAGCCATTCAACACACACAATAAGGATTCAAAAGGGTTGAAGCCTGATCCAGGCATAGTACATGTAAAAAATTGTACGTGGTTTAGAAATGGTAAAGATTTAAGTATAAGGAAGGATTCAGCAAGTTTTCAACATTGTTGACACGTGTACAGTATAATTAAGGCCTCTTTTTGTGTGTATGATTTGTGTGATATTATGTGCTTAAAATGTGTTTTTTCAAAATTTAACTCATTAATTTACACCTGATTTGTGATAACTACACCATGACAAATACCTCATGAGATATACTATATATATATTTATGTTTATAATCAACAATTTTTAAAGACATGTTCTTTTGAAAATCTTGTATCACTGCAAGAATTCATGCCTTTTTTATATATAAAAATCTAGTGTTTCTGGGAGAAAACAATTAAATTTATCAAAGAGTTATGCTGTTGATACTAATTTCTTGTGGTTCATTTCTAACAACATCGGCTCTACT